CCTCATTTCTATTGTGCTGCATTCAGCAGATATTTGCTGACTGGTTAGGCACACATTCAGCCCTCCCTGGTTTGCTTGCCTTTGGTGGACAGGTTATGGAATGATTAGGAATTCAGTCAGCACATCCTCACCCCACCAGACAGAGTGCTCCTCTGAGCACTGGTAGGCCAAGCAGTGTGCTTTCCCTGGTCCTGAGCTGCACCAAGTAAGTGGTTTAGGAATGGGTAGGCATGCAAACATCCTTGCCTCACCAAAAAGTCATACAGAGGTCTGGAGAGTAGTGGTAGGCCACACAACAAGGCTGCCCTCACTGCAGCTTGGAAACAGGGCTCCCTGAAGACCATTTGGCCACATAGTGAGCACACCCTTGTCCCTGCCTGCACCCACTGGACAAATGAGCAGGGCATAGCCACTAGGTAAAAAGGCCCTCTCCCCAGCTTTCAAAGGGCAGAATGTTGCACAGCAAAGTGCCACACAATGAGCCTGCAAAACAATCCTACCTGCCTCCTGCACAAGGACTAGGACCAGTTAGCAGCAGAGAGTCCTCACTCATATCATTCTGCATGTAGCAAAGTTTGGGATCTAAATAGCCACACAGAGAGCCAGCCCTCACTGCTGCCTCATCCAGGGATATGGTTGTAGAATGTTTAGCATTGCAATCAGACTGTCCTCAGTGATACTGGCAGACAAACAGTGGGATAGAGAAGACTGGTCAGACACACACTGAGCTCACCCTGACTTGGCCTTCATAAAGTGGACCATTTGAGACTAGTTAAGCATTCAGTGAACACACACTCGACCAAACAATCATACAGAGGTTTTGAGAGTAGTGGTAAGAAATGTACTGAGCCTGCCTTTGCCACAGCCAGGAGCCAGGGCAACCATCAAAACCACTGAATCATGCAGTGAGCAAGGCCTCATCACAGTGTGCAAACAGGTGGACCAGTGTGTTGGGCTTAGCATTGCCAAAAGGCCCCACTCCTACCTGCCTTCAGGCAGCAGAAACTTAAGGACTAGTGAGCCATGCCGTGCACTCACCAGCCCCTTGGTCTGCCTCCAGTGGATGATGAGGACCATTTAGCAACTCAGAGATATACACTCATACTAGCCATCATGCAGTGAACAATTTTGTACCTGTTAGTCACATAGTGAGAATCATCTCAGCTCATACTTCATCCAGTGGAACTATGAGCAGCAGATAAACATGCAGTGAGCTCACATTCATCCAGGCTGCTTCCAGCAGACTGTTTAGGTCCAACTAGCCCTGCAGCATGCTCAAGCTCAACCGAACCTGTTGCCAGACATCAGAAAAGGAATGGTTAATGAGTCAATCAGCCTGCCTTCACCTCAGACTACAACCTATGTAGAAATGAGCAGCGAATAGCCATGCAGTTCCACTGCCTTGCTGCACATAGCTATCAGCAGACAAATATACAAAGGATAGCCACGCAGTGAGCCTGCATTCCCATTTTTTTGCCTCCCACAGAGAAGTGAGGTCATGCTAAAAGCACAGAGAGACCGCTTT